TCTAGGCAAGCAGCCAAAGGGAAAGTCCAGCAGGGAGCCCCTGTGTTAATTATATAAACGGTTTAATTTTCAGACAGCGCCGGAATCAGGGGGGAAATGAGTGCATCCCAGGAGGAGCTCGACTGGCTGATCTGGTTAAAAACCATTTAACAACTTCCAGAAAGCCGCAGCAAAAGGGCTGATCTGTTTCACAGATGACACACAACACGTTTATCTGGCTTTTTCATGCAAAGTGACGTACATTTGCACTCTCTCACCTGGGATTCAGTCCCCATAACCTTCCAGTTATGAGTCCCAGACACTAATAACTGCTCCACTCTGCTGCCCTGGAAATATGTAGTTTGTAGGATTTAATATGACACTCAGAGATCATTGCTTTTAAAAGGTGCTATATCAAATAAAAAGTGTATTAATTAGCACACATTTAGGCCACTCGCTTTCTCGGTGTCCATATATGTAAAGCATTTAGGGAAGACAAATATTATACAACTAGAATTTATATATTCATACCAAATCCCATGTAATGTGTTATGATGGAACTAAATAATCCCCATTCATACTAAAACAAAAGGGTGGCTTTACTAAGTATACATAATTACATGCTAAATTAGTTTTGAGTTTGAGAAAATATTTGCTTGCCTATTTTCCTTCTCAATGCATGCAACAGGTCTTGCGTCACTTAAAGGACACCGATAACCTCATGGCTTATCAAAACATCAATAAATGCCAGGAGGGAAGCACTGTTTTTTGATGCTGCTAGCCACTGAGAATGTACACAATCCTTGTGATGCCTCTAGAACAGAAAGATGAGGCACCTTCCTTGAGCTTTGCTTTACAATAGTCAGCGCTGTTCAAATCAAACCGAAATTTCTTTCCGAGCCTCGTTGTTGCACCTGCTGGTCATTCTGACTCTGCGGCGTTTCACACACACGTGGACCGAACTGAACGTGCAATTACTTTAACACACAGTTAAGTTTTACGTTTCTTTAAAACACTTTGCTCCAGAACAATCTCAGGAGTAAAAATGACAAAATTACGCTAAACTTAATTTTGAGATAGGCTTAGGTGACAAAAGCAGTTGATTCACAATAATTAGTCATGTATTCACTTACTGCTTGATAATTTAGAATAATTCCACATTTTTAGATATTATTTCACTTATATGGGCGGTTTCATTATGATTTGAAAAACTGGAACTTTTACTCAAAATCCTCAGGGATAAACCACAGGGAACAAAAGAGGACTCTGTGACTCTCTTTTTTTTTCTCTTTCCAAAATAAGAAAGGTCAGAGTGTGATTCCAGAACCTCATTCTGAAAACAAGGGGGATGGGAGTGGAAAACATCATAAATAAAGAATGTGGTTTTTATACAAAGAACAGAGCTTTATTTACACTTAGCAGAAACAATACATGCTATAATCCACCCTTTACAAGACAGCCTCTACTGCACTGTTTCAAATATTAGGAACAGTAAACAGAAAATACTAGAGCTTTCACTCAGATTTATTTAAACACCAATGGTACTCAAAAAAAGATAAATACAAAACACCTATAATACACTTGCTTTCGAGGATACGGTGTGTGTGGTGTGTGTGTCCATTTCCAATTCCAATTGAACTGTATAAAAAGCTTACCCCTAGAAACACATTGAATTCCCCTTTTACAGGGCAAGAGTTTTCATTTCATTTCTTTTCATTCCACAACTGCTAAAAGAGTTGTTAAGCCATCAAATGGGATAAAAGATGTGTTGGCAAGCTGAATCCATAAAAAGAAATTGGTACAGTATGACTCAGTTCCGGACAAAGACAATGAACACTTGAACTCCTGGACGCTTATTCAGATTCTCCCAAAACCTGATCCTGT